TTCATTGTATCCAAACCCATTACATCAAATGAATTAAATGTCTACTAAATAGATATCAATCCTTGAATAATTGAAAGTCACGATTTATCTATGGATTCAATGGTTGAAACTTCTTTTGTAAACATTTAATGCTATGAGTCACATCTACTAGGTACTTTCTGAAGTCATTGGAGCAACATATAAAGAGCAAATATCAACCGATCCATCGGATCAATAAGTAATAATTTTCCCAATCACTTACCAATCTCGTCATCTAGAGAAAATGAATGGCATACCAAAAATGCATATTTATTATTCTGTATAAGTAGTGATAACTAGAGTACATTTTTGAAACTACTACCGCACTATTATACCAAAAGATTGTGGGGTTCTTCACAACTCATTAATTTTAATTACAATTCAAGTGGAAGGATCTCACACTTTTGTATATAGTAGAGTAGAAATAGTTTGAAAAGTATAGTTTTGTTACCGTTATCCTTCTTTGTATCCAATACCACATGTATTAGATTTCAGTAGAGAGAGAATTTGAACTTATAGAAGGTAACATCCTGAAAGGAAAGAATTTGTACATATAAAAGGTAACAAACCTGTAGAGAAAGAATTTGGACATATATATAAAAGGTAACATCCTGAAAGGAAAGAATTTGTACATATAAAAGGTAACAAACCTGTAGAGAAAGAATTTGCACATATATATAAAAGGTAACAAATCCACAGCATAGCCTACAACCCCCTAACTCCCTCCACTATAAAAAGCCCTTAACCAATAAACATTCCAACTCACAAACCCCAATATAACAAGAAGCCCCTACAAACACTTAACCAAAAACCATGAAAACCCTCCTCCTTCTCCTTCCTCTATTTCTTGCTGCCACGGCCTCCGCGACCTCCATGAAAGCCGTCGTTGGAGGTTGGACTCCAATCAAGAACCTCTCCGACCCACACGTTATCGACATCGCGAACTTCGCCGTGTCAGAGTACAACAAGCAGGGTAACTCTAAGCTTGAGCTGAGCAAGGTGGTTAAGGGAGAGACTCAAGTTGTTGCTGGTGTAAATTATAAGCTGGATATACAGGCTAAGGCTGATGATAATGGTGCGGTTGGGTATTATGAGGCTGTTGTGTGGGAGAAGGAGTGGGAGAAATTTAGGCAGCTTACTTCCTTTAAGCCTATATACCATATTAATTAATTAGGTTGTTATTTGTGTTGTGGGTTGAGTTGAAATATTAATAAATAAAGGAATGATATTTGATACAACTTTCACCTTGTTTGGGAGTTGGGAGTTTTTTTTAAGGAGGGTAGAGAGGAGAAAGGAAGGGGAACAGAGGGTAAAATTGCTTGGTTTTCTCCCCCCCCCGATTTGGGCGGTAGAGGAGGGTAAAGAAGGGTAAAGGGGTGTAATGACATTCTTACCCCAATCAAAACAAATAAAAGGGCTGATGTGTTATTAATATAAAGTCATTTATGTAAATTTACATATATTTACTTCCTTTCACCTTCATTCACCTTACTCAACTCCCAAACAACATATTACAATGCTCTTCCCTTCCCTTCCCTTCCCTTCCCGTTGTTTACCTTTCCTTCCCTTCCCTTAGTAAACTCCCAAACACACCATTAGTATAATACGTTTCGTTTTGATTATTGGGTATTTTTTGGTCCGAGAATTCTGAATATTTAGATTAATTGATTCCAAATGTCTACGAAAGGAGAGTGTATAAAGATTGAAAGATAAATGATTGTTTCTAGTCAGGACGTGCTTAGCAAACTTAAAGTGAGCTGAAACTATAAAAAATATCGTTATTTCTACGCCAATGTAAGAATGTATCAATATCAACACAGAAACAAAATGAAATTTTTGTTATTTATAAGGGGTTTTTATTTCTAGGCCTATTTGTTTACTCAACTTTATCTATAAACTCAATCATTATTATTTGTATCTTTAAGCTCAATTCTCTTTTTGTATTTGTCTTTAAACACAATTTCTAAAATACAGTAGGTAAAGCACTTGCATTTATATAGAAACTTAGTAAAACCCCCAAAATACCCCTTTCGTTAGACCCATCTAAACTCAAAACCAAATAAAGAACACTTTGTAACTTGGATCAGGATCATTTCCAATTAGGTGATAATCGGAGAGTATCCAATTACCCCCAATTATTACCATTTATCCCAATTTCAGAAGCTGAGATGAAGCCACATGAGACCCTAAATATTATCTTGAAAACCACTATTGTCTTTAAAACTACTATTGTGAAACTTAGTATTGTGATAGTAAAAATCCTACTTAGTTTCATCTAAGACATTGAAATTGGAGTAGAGTGTAAGGATTGGGTAATTGGACAATCTCCAATTAGCATCTAATCAGAGAAGATACGAATCCTTACAACTTTAACTTTGTATCTTACTTTCTTAATGAGAATAGAAGTTAAACCTCAAATTTTGCATATTTATTGCTAGGAGCAAAAAAGAGACTAAGTCTAAGACTATATGCCGTAACAACGTAAACCGAAAATAATAATATATAAAGACAAGCTTAGCCTAATTAGATTTTTTTAAAGCATAACTATCCGCTCTTAAATGAGAAGATTCTGTTCCTGTAATTTTAGCTCGACTCTAAATTTTCATCATCAAAGGGTTGGCAATAAACTTGATAAACCTAAAATTAATCGTTATTTTGAAGGGAGTGTCAAGGCTTCAAATTCCAACTTTCAATGTGTCTCAGCCCTCCATATTTTTTTAATGTACTGCAGCCCCTTCTTTTTGAAAAACTTGTGTCCAGGCCCCTCCATCATGATTCCAGCTGATGCCAGAAGATGATTAGACATGTCAGCTTATGATTAGACATGCCAGCTAGCTTAAATCCTAAATTTACCCTCTTTTTTATCATGTCACTAGATGTTAACTCTTACAGTTAACATGTTAACGCTTACAATTAACATGTTAATTGTAAGAGTTAACATGTCATCTGTAAGAGTTAACACATGTTAACATGATAACCATGATCTTCGCCGCCCACACGAAGTTACTCAGGACGACGTCGACGACGGAGCGGGGGAGGGAGGTGGGGGAGGGGCAGAGGGGGACTGGAGTAGGAGGAGGGAGGGGTAAGGGGAGGTGTAGCATGTAGGCGTCAAAAAATGCCTATAGGTTCTCGTACGCAGCTCGAGGCGAAATGCAGACGATAATCGTCATCATTCAAGTCAGGAAAGGATTATCCGGCCCTGTGGAAGCTAACGAATATACAAAGTGAGTCATTGGAGTGTACAAGTCAACAGAATGACGAAATGCGCAATACAAGTCCGAAGAAGTTAGAAAGTGTCAAACACCTCAAAGTGGCCCGTATAAAGGATTGACATTTTTACCATGATACAAATTGGATCTGGAAAAATTCAAAAAATAAAAGTTGAAGGTCTCTTCGTCAGTTTTCTAACGCATCTTGAGTCACTTCATTCCGAGGTCGGATGAGTGAGTTAAGGTCGCTATAGTAACTCTGGGTCACTAACTCCTGACCCGCGCTACAGTACTCTGACCGTGCTACAGTACTCCGACTCGCGCTACAGTAACCACGAGTCAC